CTCTTCACTTTCCTGCCATTTTTATCTGCATTTCTACATAGCACTGTTTCTCCAAACAGGTTGGATCCCTCAAAGATACTGTTAATGTCTCTGTTGCTATAGCAATTTTGTTTTCTAAAGGATTGCCAATAAATGTCTGATCTGAAACTTTGATATTGTATTATTGACATATTGATTGCTTTGGCAGCAACTGAAGCCAAAGATTTGCTTTCTAAAAATTAAATCAAGAGATGGAGAAAATGTTTAAGATGCCATGCCCTTTTTTTTTTTTTTTCCTGTGGGTGAATTCTGAGTTTTACACATCAAACGTTTTCTTGACCTTGGATGACTCAGGCATTTTCTGGGTAAACTTCTAAATCATGTGACTCAGTTACAATCAGCATTTGTTGCTTCTAAGCATCCAGGGCTGGCAATAGGTGATTCAGCACCCAGAGCAAATCCTCTCAGGTTGCTGGTGAGAGGGGGGATCTCCTCTGGCAAACCTACCATGACTTAGATGACTTTAAAGAAAACTGGGTTTGTAAATGGCCAGAATATGTCTTCCTTTATATTTGTTGTTTATGTGCCAATATTGGTGGAACTTAGTTGATCTAAAACAAATGAACAACCCATAGCTTGACTTCCTCCTGGACTTTTCTATGGCATGCAACTGCTCATATCAATCAGCCAATTAACCTATGTTAGATGCAAAGAGACTCCAAAAAAGGGCCCATTCATTGTAAAGCTTCTGAAGAGGTAGCATGGATCACTCACATATACCATCACCCCTAGGTTCCTTTAACTTTCCAATCCCCAACTTTCTTTACTTATTTACTTTTTTAAAAATATTTCTCAAGTTATACATGGACACAATCTCTTTTTTTTTTTAATGTGGTGCTGAGGCTCAAACCCAATGCCTCACATATAAAAGGCTAGTGCTCTACCACTGAGCCACAACCCCAGCCCTACTTATTTACTTTTAACGGATACCCCAAATTGTATATATCAAGGGGGTCTCATGATGTCTTTGTACTTGAGTACAATGTAGAATGTGTAAATCAGGTTATATATAAATATCTCCTCAAACACATGTCATTTCTTCAGGGTAAAAACAATCTGATTTTTTTTCCAGCTTTTTGAGATATACAGTCCATAATTGTTACCATAGTCACCTAACTACAAAAGCACACCAGAACTTCTTACTCCCCTCTAACTGGAATTCACTACCCATCCATCATCCTGTCCCCACCCTCCAGTAACCACCATTGGAGGCTCTACTTCTGTGAGATCAGCTTTCTTATTTGTAAAGTGTGGAGATTAAAACTCATTTTGTAGGATCGTGTTAGTTATTTAAATGAGATGATGTGTGTAAAGTGCCTGGCTAACATGGGGCCTTTACACCTCCCTGGTTGTCACTGCCACTACTTTTACCACTAGAATGCTACCACCAACATCTTGTCACTTCTATCTCCAAAACAATGGTAGTTTCCACCACCACTGAAAACATTCATGTTTGAATGCTTAATATATGGCAGGGAGGAATATAATTATGTTTGGTAATTTATTTAACATCCATTTGGAGAGATACTGTCAATGTATAATATGTGCCTGTGTCTAATTTAGCTCTAAATTGTAGCATATGAATTGTAAAAACCATAAAAATTTACAGATTAGTGATAGTGGATGCTTGGGTTTGTTAGGGAGGCTTCGTGGAGGATGTGGCATTGGAGATGGACTTTGAAGGATGGGTGTGCTTTCCATTGGCAGCAGGAATTGAGCAAATCCCAGAAGTCATTAGGGCAAGGTGGATTGGAGGGTAAGATGACAGAGTGCAACTATCAATATAAAAAGGGAAGAGGACTTTGGGGAAGGCTGGACACTTTGGATCCACAGAGACTGCTTGACTTATGGGAACAGTATATAGAGACCCTTCTAAGATTTTAAGGCTGGCTGGGAGAATACGTGGTCCCAGAGAAAAAGGGAGGGAAATTTAGATGAAAGGGATGGATGAAAATGATCTTGGATCTGCATCTAGAGATCACCTAATTTAGATTAGGAGGGAACTCTGGCCTTATACAATTGAACCTCATCTTTTTACAGATGATTGAAACAAGAACTTAATCACTAACATGGATTTAAGTCAGTGGTCTGAAATCCATTTGTACTTTAAAATCATTTGGGAACCTGAAAAACATCCCAGTACCTGCATTCTACTCCTAGAGTTTGGATTTACCTGGTATAGCTTTGGGTTTTCAGAAGATCACAAGGTGTTTCTAATGGGCAGACATGTTTGGGAGCCATGGATTTAAATCCTGTGTTACCTTCAAGTGATCAGGATGAGGAGAGAGATGGTACTTTACCCTTTACCCCCATACCCCTTACTGTTGTAGGTCTACCAGCCTCTTCTGTTCCCTCAACTCACTGGAAAAGTTCTTGCTTCAGTATCTCTGCATATGTCTTCTGTCTAAAATGCTCTTGCTCCTGCACATCCCATGTTCACAAAATCAGGCTCCTTCCATCTCTGGAAGTCTTAGCTCGAAATGCCTTCTGTTCAGAAAGGGCTTGTCCACATAATATTCTTATACTGTGTGTTCTCTCAGTCTCTCAGCCTCTCTCCTCTTTACTTGCAAAGTACTTAGCAACATCTGAAATTCTGTATGTATTTTCTTGGTTTTTGTTTATTATCATTCTTACCTTGTTTACTGTCCACTCATTGGTAAACTTCACAAAGCAGAGGAATATGTCTCTTTATTGACCAACATATTACTAAAGAGCCAATCATGGTATCTCATACCAAAAAATAGTTGGTGAATGAATTAGTGACTGAGTGAGTCTGAGAGCTTGGAAATGCACACACAGCTGGATAAATATGTAATATGTGAAAATCAACCCAATGAAGTTGGTAGAACTGTAGTTCCTTGGGTGTCTACTGTTTAATCTATGTTATTCTGTAATGTTATTTATGTGTGTGCAGATAATAAATTACCATCTAGAAAAATTAAATGATGGGTCCAGATTCCCACAACAGGTGGGCACAGACAGAATAAGTGGGGTCTCAGATAAAGCACTTGATCCTGAGTCCTGAGGAAAGGTTTATTGTACTCCATGCTACTGGACAGGCCCTCCAAGGGTCCCATGGACAGAGACGGAAGGATATCTGGGGCCAGGCCCTAAGGGATTTTTCAGATGCACAGAGAGAGGGAGATGGCCAGAGCTGGAAAGAGCAGAGACTGTTACAGTTCAGGAAGAGATCACCCCAGCAGAGGCCCGGAAGCCAGCCACCCCAGGGCTTCCCTGGTTCTTTTTCTTCATGGTATATATTCAAGGGAGTATTTGGCCTTTGTTTTAAAAGTTATAAGATTTGAAAATGAGGTTTCTTCTTAAATGAATATAGTTTGGAGACTTGGATGAAATGTCTAACTTCAGGATTTGGAGAGGCTAGCACGAATTCCTATGCTGTGTCATCTCCTCTTGGAAGATTCTGTAAGAGGACATATATTTCTGGGATGGTTAGGCATTGACGTGTTTGGAAGCAGAACCAGGCTCACGGCTTTATGAATGTTTTCCAGTAAGAAAGTTAAAACTGGAAAGTATGAGAGCTATTGGCACTTTAAAAAGCAGCAATACACCATGATTTTATGCCCTGTATAAACGTACAAAAATTTCAGGAAATACCACATCCCAAACTTGTTTTGTTCGTGCTCAACACAGAAAAAAAATGTAGAAAAGAGATTTTTTTTTCACTTAAAAGATTGGAGAAAGAAGTATTATATGCATTATGAGCAAATGATAAACTCCACGTAACCTTCTGCAAGAATAAAACTAGACCATGTTGCTCTGTATCCATCCCTTCCATGTTTACAGTACTATTTGCCAAGTTGTTCTATGGATCCAAGAAGCCCTCACCATGTCTTAACCCCATGGGGCCAATATTCTATTACACAATGGCTTTATAAATGTTAATTTATTATGTAATATTTAGGAGTACAAAAATGTCTACTGAGTATTTCTGAATTTCCTTACAATAGAAGGTTCAAAACTTGTTTTAAAGAGCAGTTGATAAAACAAAACCCAAATTTCATCTATTACTGATGCTTTGGTTTCTATGTTCGTTCAAAACAAGTGAACTCACTGGGTCCCATCCATTGTGATTCTTAGAGAAGACAAAATCTCAAGGAGTATCCTAGTAAATCAGAAAAACACAATGAAGCTGATTGGTAGGGGAATCCCCTAGTATGGTTTAAGACAGATGAATGAAGGAATCAGTCTGTGCATCTCCATACAAAGAAATGAAAAAATAACACTAAAATTCAGGTACCAAGGGAGTGGGTCAAGAAACAGAGGCGCTCAGGAGGGAACAGCATTTACTCTAACTAGGATGATGGGAAAGATTTCGAAGACTGACTCTAAGTATGGTGGTGGTTAGTGGGGCGTGAAGGTGAGAGGGCATTGGAGGCAGAGGGAAAATCAGGATATGGAGGTGGGAAAGGGAGGAAAGAATACCCCAGGAACTATTTCTAATTTGCAAAAGTATGGAAGACCAGTAAAACACAGGTGTTATGCTTTGAATGTGAGGTGTCCCCCAAAAGCTCACGTGTGAGACAATGTGAGAGGGTTCAGAAATGATTGGGTTGTGAGAGTCTTAACCCAATCATTGCCCGTCCCTCTGATGGGATTAACTGAGTGGTGATGGAGGCAGATAGGGTGTGGCTGGAGGAGGCAGGTCAGTAGGGAAGTGGCTTCGGGGTATATATTTATATCTGGAGAGTGGAGTCTCTCTTTGCTTGGTGATCATCATATGAGCTGCTTCCCTCTGCCACACTCTTCTGCCATGATGTTCAGCCTCCATTCCTTGAGCCCCTTGGTTATGGAAGCCCAGAAGAGTGGAATGCTGGGAAAGCGAGGAGATCCTTAGGCTGTTGTATCCAGCAGAGACAGAGGAAGCAGGGGGCAGATGGAGGAGAAGGAAGAAAGAAGTCTATGGAGGGTTGAGACCACTTGGGCTTGAAGAGGAAGTGGGAGAGAAGCTTCCTCTGCTTTCCTGGTCTTCTGGGTTCACTTGAAGGGGAGGGAGTAGTTTTGCAGTTGTCATCGTTTAGGAAATGAAGCTGATTGGTAGGGGAATCCACAAGTATGGTTTAAGACAAATGAATGAAGGAATCAGTCTGTGCATCTCCTCCTCACTTTCTTTACCACTGACTTGGCACATCCCATGTTCACAATAGCGGGGTGGAAGGGTCAGCAGGCCGTTTGGCAGGGAAGGTCTTGCAGACCTAGTAAATTTTCAAAAAGTTGTCAGCACAGTTAAATTTATACTTCCTTTCACCCACAAATCATTTGACTATAGTGACAAAGTCAAAGGAAGCTGCCCAGTGGAAATGTTGCTTCCTATGTGAACAGGCACGCTCACATGGCAAGGGAGATTATCTTTGAGCAATAGGTCCCATTTTTTTCCATAAGAAGACTCTTCCAGGCTGCAAATAAGTCAGCAGTGCTCATATCAATTGTGTTGATAATATCAGAAAGGTTTTTTTTAAAGAGAGAGAGAGAGAGAGAGAGAGAGAGAGAGGATTTTAATATTTATTTTTTAGTTTTTTGGTGGACACAACATCTTTGTATGTGGTGCTGAGGATTGAACCCAGGCTGCATGCATGCCAAGCGAGCGCGCTACCACTTGAGCCACATCCCCAGCCCCACCAGAAAGTTTTTTTAAAGAAGCTCTTATTTATAGAAATAGCCCATTGTATGAATTTTGTTTTTGCTGCATTAAATAAATTCAATGAGATGTCTTGATTTTCCTCACTGTCCAACTTTTTCTAAAGGTGATTTTTTTTAACTTTCTGTGGCTCCTAGTTTTAATTCTGATATATTTATTTGTAAACTACTTTTCTACTTTTCAGTCTTTCTCTCTACTTGATTATCCTAGCCACAGAGGCCAGGGCAGAGCTCTTCCAATAACAGGAACAGTTGATCAGAGACATCGTCGTACCATGAGATAAATATGTGCAGCTAACTCTAGGACACTCTTGGGAAGGATCAAGAGAGGACTGGAAAGAAATCTCCTTTAAAACTTCTCTAGGCATGCTGAGAGAAAGCAAGCTTGGGATGATAAATGGGCATGCAGTTTTTGAAGAGCTTTTGTGAGATGCTCTCAAGTGGAATGGATTCTATGCCTCCGTTCCACAGAGAACAGTGCTTCATGATTTGTGTTTCTCTATCCTGACAAGTCTTGGCTCTTAACACACGAGACGGTCCCAGAGAATCGCAAGCTTGGCAGTGGGTAGGATGAGGCTGTTTGGACGGACTGAGCTGCTTTCAATCCTAACCCTTACTTAAGAGATCAGATGTTAATAAAGCAACTTAAAATGTATTTATTTTAGCTGTTTTCCTCCACCTTCATTCAACTTCCTTTGCAGACAGTTGGCCTGCATGAGAACCACAGAATCATTCCAAGACTCTAAACATCCCATTAGGTTCTAATGTCATCATTGAACAACGCAGATGTTCTTACTCATTTAGTCATTCAACAAATACTGATTTGTTGAGAATTCTCCATATGCCAAACATTTGTTTTAGGTACAACAAGTACAGCAGTGAGTGCAATCAAGTCTCTGTCCTCATGAACTTAGATTCTAGGGGAGAGATAGCCACGGGACAGTTCAGCAGTAGCATATGTCACCTAATATCACGTGGAGACACATGCTATGGGAGCAGAGTTAGCAACATGAGAAGATGAAGCACAGAGTGTTGAGATGTGTCCTGCAGAGATGGCCTTCCAAGGTGGACAGAGCTGGAGCAAACAGCCACATGCAGGTCAGAGTGAGCCACACAGAGATCTGGAAGGAAAGACTTTCAAAGCAGATGGTACAATGACATAACATGAGGTTCCTGTAACATGGAAGTCTTTATTATTATTATTATTATTATTATTATTATTATTATTATTATTATTATTATTTTGTTATCTTATGTATCAATATTCCAAGATCATTTTGTCTCTACAGACTTTAGGAAAACATTTGTTGTTGTAATAGATAAAAGTAAAGAAGAGAGAGGCCAACTCTTGCAGTGTTCCCTCACCAAATATAAAATGGGGAGAGTTTAGGGGAAGCCTCTCCCACCTGCAATGCTAGCTGGCGTGCTGAGAGGGTAGGCGATGCGGAAATTCATCTGACCTCTGGGCAGAGGGCTCTCTGCTCCCATCAACTCATCTTCCTTCTCTTTCTTCTTCATAACTCATCATCCTCAGGACTCATGTTCTGAGGAAACAGAAGCCTGGAATATTTTTTTCAGGGGGGGGGGATTTTATTCTAAATAGCTGTCTGATTTTATTTCTTAAAAACAAAACAAAAGTAGTGACTCAAAACAATGTAAAGGCTGTTGGTGACAATGGTCTCTTGGCTGCCTGCCGTGGCTCACATTCACTGTGGCTGGGAAAGGAAGGAATCTTGTGAACGTGCATGAATTGGGCTGGAACCTCAGGCTGATGCTCTTTCCAACAAACCCAATGTGATCAGGGAGAGGGGCTGTGGCAGTAAAGGGAATGGCTTTTCAGGAAGACTTTTTGTCTTTAGACCCCACAGAATATCCCAGATTGCCTTGGGGAGAGAAAACTGGGGTGTTCTACCTCTCCTGATGACCCTGCTTTCTCACCATTGCCTGATCTTGGAACATCTTAAGGCATGAAGAACTTGCTGGTGGCTCTTAGGCTTTTACAGTTTGACCATGTGCAGAAACTCAGGGCTTTGTCTATCTGTCCTTCCATCTGCCTACCTCCAGAGGGGTTTAAAGTGGTAGCTCAGACATGAGGTGCAGGAACCAGGGGAGTCAGAGTAGCAGAGCTCTCTAAGGACCAGTGCGTCATGGTGCCAAGGAGATGCCACCTGCTGAGGCCTCACAGCTCTGGTTCCACAGCTCTTTGGAGAGGAGTGGGTGGCTGGAGACTGTGGCACTGTTCTGCCTGCCTCCTGGGCCCACTCAGGATCATAGAGTTACACATTGTCCAAGAGGTGGATCTTTAGAAAGTGCGGTATATACCTTGTTACTTGATTCTATTTTCTGTATTTATTAATAAGTTC